AAAAAATGACAAAAGTATAGTGCTATAGAAGGGGACTGAAGGTGCATGTGTGCATTGGAATGTTTTGCCTAAGAATGCACAAAGGCATGGAAATTCAACAGAATAGCATGAACAAATAACGACTCACCCTTATATATTTGAATGAACTGGAAACTGATATGATCAAACTGTCAAAGCATTGACAAAACAGTCCTGTTTCTTTTGAAGTAGCCAATACTGTATGTTTAAAAAATAGTTTAAATTGGGTGCCATTTGTCATCAACATTTTGTATGCAAGTGTTTAGATACTTTGCCATCAGTACTTGCTTTTCCTTAATCTCACTATACTATATACTGTAAGTATATTCCCTCAGTACTTCAGTCAACTATTGTGGCATATTTGCAGGTAAAAGTTTCTCCAATCAGAGCAGTCCCAAATGCAGCCCTTCTGACGGAGAGGCTTCCTCGTCCATCCTCCCCGTCCACCAGGTCCTGGACAAGGTAAAGGGCTACTGCTCCGTGCGCTCGGACAACTTCTACAAAAACATTATCATATCAGACAGCTTTAGCAACAGCACTAAATTCTAGTGAGAGGAGGCTGAGACGGAGCCCTGTTCTGTCCCACAGACTTACCTTGTGTGTAAAGACTATGCTACATTTTGAGTTAACCTTCCAAGCCCTTCCACCCTCCCCGACTGGAGTAGAGAAACGCATAACCTTGTAGAGAGGGCAAGCTATGAAATTGTGGAATTGACATACTGTGATATTCAGCTTATAGTGAGTATGTGATATGTAAATATTCATAATATATTTTACTATTTGTGCTTTTTCTAATTTCGGTTTTGCATACTTTTTTTGCACATTACTTTGGTTTTTGTTTTTGTATATATAAATGCATAAATTCTTGCTACGGCAGAAAAAATTGGACCATTTTACAACCAAAGACTGGCTGACTAACATGAGGAGTACTAGTTAGTTCCTCAGAATGGGACTGAAAGAACAAATACGGTTGAAGCTTGAATTTTCATGCTTGTGAATTTTGCCTTGGTTTAGCTTTCTTTACCTTAAGTACATTTTCACTGTAAATTAGTGAACCTTTAATACTTTTATTTTGTGATTATTGAAATGCTCTCTATTTTAGTCTTCACATGATCTACTACTGATTAACATGTTACAGAAAATGTTGTTTTTTTACAGTGTGATCCTTGTTCAGTTGTTTCAGTGCATAGTTTCATAAAACTGCTCTAACAGAAGGGCAGAACATTGAGATTAGTCAAACAAGAGCTATTTGACGATGGAATGAAAAACAACAGCTATACACCAAATCTAACATGTTCAGATCTTCCTGTTGCTGTAGTTTAATGACTTTGTTGTTTTGACTTGGTATTTATTTTAAATGCTTTTAAGAGATTTCTATGCTTCATTGAAGAAAATGTCAGCCGAGGACATGCTTACCGAGGGCTATTGAGTTTGCTCTGGTCATCAGTGTAGATCATCATTGTATAGTGGTCATGGATGCTTTATGAAAATGTGACATCCTGCATATTAAATGCACTTAAAACATCTTGTCATTTCTTATTTGTTTGAATAGTAACAATTTTCTGCTTATGGTGGAAAATCTGAAATATTAGGGATGCCTCAGAAATTTTGTGTCTGTATTCCCAGCTAACAAGCTAATATGTTCTTCTTAAACTGAACGTTTTACTAACATTCCCATTAAGTTATAGATCTGTTATTTCTAAATGTTTTGATCATTCCATTTTTTTGGGGAACCAAATACTAATGTTAGGGGAACGTTCC